GTCTCAGCCTCCCAAGTAGCTGGGACTACAGGCGCCCACCACAATGCCCGGCTATTTTTTTTTTTTTAAGAGAAGGCCCTCGTTCTTGCTCAGGCTGGTCTCGAACCTGTGAGCTCAGGCAATTCCCCCAGCTCAGCCTCCCAGAGTGCTAGGATTACAGGCATGAGCCACTGCGCCCGGCCTCTTCATCTCTTCCCATCTGGCCCTGTCCTATCCATGGTTCTGATCCCCCCACACACCCCAACTCCTCTCCTACCCTCTCTACCTTGCAATGAGTTCTGAAGGCTTTTCATGTACTTGACGCTCAACTCCAGGATGTCAGCCTTCTCCAACTTGCGCTTCCGGATCTGTAGATCCGTGGAAAAGGCCCTTAGGCAGGCAGCTCGAGGTGAAGGGAGTAAGGCTGGGGGTCGAGTCCCTTTGCCGCCTCCCTGAATCTCACCTGGTGAGAGTAGTGTTTCTCCAGCAGTGACTTCAGCTGCTCCAGAGACAGGTTAATGCGTGCACGTCGCTTCTTCTCCATCAGTGGCTTGGAGATCTGGGGACAGTGGCCTTTAGAGAATGGGACCCCTGCCCACCCACCCTGCCCCATGCTGGCCTGGGAAAGGGCACCCACCCCAGGTCCCTCAGGACCCCAGACCTTTCGAAAACTGCCGGCAGAGACTCCGAGACTGCCCCGGGTGACAGGCTCTGTGCCCATGTTGCAGTGTATGTGTGCAAGGAGCAGGCAGCGCTGCCTTTATTGGGGACCCTCGTTTACATGTCAATGAGGCCCTCTCAACTCTAGAAACCCTGAGGAGGAGGGAACGAAGGGGATGAACAGGGACACTCCCTACCTCCTTCCGCTGGGCCCCCTCCCATAGCCCAGGCTTCCTCAGGGTCCCTCCTCCCTCCCTAGGGACACTCTCTCCTTTCTCACTCTTTTTTTATTTCTCTGGCATCCACCACTTCCCAACCCAGGACCACTCTTATGCCTACCTCTCTCTTTTCTTAGAGACAGAGTCTCTTTGTTGCCCTTGGTAGAGTGCTGTGGCATCACAGCTCACAGCAACCTCCAGCTCTTGGGCTTAGGTGATTCTGAGTAGTCTCCTGAGTTGGGACTACAGGCGCCTGGCTATTTTTTTTTTTTTTT